ACCAAATTAATAAATRAAATTAAAATAGCAAAAATGTATTGAGATCTTGTTCACATCTTATTCATTGTCTTAATTCATCTAATCTTTAAAACAATTGATATGATAAACTGAGGCACAAAGGAAGAGATTAACAACATAAATTGCAGATTTGGATTAACTCAAAATCCTGTCTATGTCAGCAGTGCTGTGCTCTTGGGGAATAGCAACAGGGCAGACATCTTTGTAGTGCTAAAGAAGAGCACCCAATAGGAGACTCAGCCTCTGCTCTGATTGGCTTTAGGATTTTAGAAACAGGACTCAAGACAGTTGTTTGGGATTTCCTGACTTGCTCAAATCATAGATGACAACAGAGCAAAGAGATGGAATTCAAATCATCTGACTTCAGGCCTTGGACAAAATCACTGGAACATAATGCAAGTTGCCCTTTGTCRAGTTACTGATTCACAGCAGTATCTTAGGAATTCTTGGGAAGATAAGTCTGTAGACACATGTACTGAAAAGGAAAAGGTAAAGCCTAAGGACAGTTGTAGTCTCAAGGATCATCACAGTGGCTAGCAATGAACTTTTATTGAATGATGACGAGAAATTCCGAGCAGGGATGAGTGCCTTTGGACTGGAGTAGATGGAGAGGCAGAGCTTGAATCTTCAACTGAACCTTGGCCCATAGGAAGGATTTAAATAATGAAGAGTCAGTAGGAATGGATGCAAAATAGGGAAAACTTTTTCATAAAAACAAACAACAACAAAAAAACAACAACCCCCAAACAAACAAACAAAAAGAAAACACAAGAAACCACATAAGCAGGAAAGAATAAGCCCTTATTTAGAGAAGAAAAAGTAAAGCAGATAAATTGGAACATAGTTCACTTTAGAGCATAGCCTGTCCATCCTTCCACCYATCCATCCATCCATCCATCCTTCCATCCATTCACTCAACAAAAGCTTATTACACACCAGGTACTATATCACATCTTAAAAAACTAGAAGCATCAAAGATAGGTTAGAGCCAGATTTTGAGGCATCTGGAATGCCAAGATCAAAAAGATGAACTTGAATTTGATGATTGTAAGCCATGAATGGTTTCCTGAGCCATGGAGAGTGATTTCAAAAATTTACTAAGGAAGAGTAGGCTGAGTAGACTGACAAAATTAGGGGCGATGCGTTGGAAAGAAAGAAGGCAGGGTGGGGGGCGGTGAGAAAATTCACAAGAGGAATTGCCAATGTCTAGAGACAGAAAGATGAACTTTGGATAAAGGAAAGGAGGGTAGGGAAAGACTTGGGCTTCAGAAATGTTGCACAAACACAACCCATGACCACAGGGGGATAACTGGGAAGAGCAGGCACTGGCACCAGGCCTTGGGAGAGGGGCAGGAGGAGCTTAGAAGGGTGCTCTTCATAGGCTGGACATGTCTGTTCTCAAAATTGGTATCTCTACCTTTGCATCTGCTCTATATCTGACCTTGATAAATGCTTGCAACATCTGATATCCACTGAGCAGAGATTTCATGATAGAAGAGGCCAACTGTCACTATCCCCTTGTTGCAAAGAAGCAGGTTTTTCACCCAAAAATGGAATTCATTTTTTTAAGCTGCTAACCACGCTGAATTTTGAGCACATCAAATTTAAAAGGGATTAACACTTTATAGATATATAAAGTCAGGTTATTATGCAAAATGCAGGTTTTACATTTCTCTACTTTTTATAATCCCTTGATATCAGAATGCACACTAAAGCCTCAAGGAAGATTCTTGAAGTGTAGTTGCTTAGAGAAAAGGGTTATAAATCTTCTTGTTATTATTTTTGCTAGATGGAAGACATTATAGCCAACTATAGATCAATGGTCGAGCATCAGAGCATGAATAAATTGACACAGAGCAATGATCCTAAATCCATCTGTATTGTAACCTTGTGTCTCAGCCTCCTTTGCCCTCAACTCCTTCACCAAGTCTTCTGTCAAGGAGCCGTTTCATGTTTGAATTTCAACTATTGACCTTACCCATCATTTCCGATGGGAAGTTGTGAGCAGGAATGAGGCCAAATGATTGAGAGCAGAAAGCACAGAAAACAGCAGAGTTTCTGATAGTTCAACAAATTCTTTGATTTCAACCACTGAAGCCTGAGAGGTAAAAGTCACTGGAATGAATTGCCCTGGCCTTTTTGTGCTGGGTGATGACAGTTACTTTTCCTTAACAATCACTGGGTTCCTTTCATATCCTCAGAATCCTGGTGTTGGAAAGAACATCAAAAGTTCATCATGTTTCGTTTCCCACTTGCCAACAGAATTATGCCTAAACCATCCAAGATGGATCTTTGTGTGTTCTGTTCTTTAAGTCTTGGAGAATGATCATCAGCAAAATGATGGATGTCAGTTGGCTGGAAACCCGCTTATAACATGTTGTAGTTTTCATGATAGTTATCTGTCCACTTAGCAGTAACATCAAACATGCACACATAGGTGAATCCGGTTCAGGTAGCAACCTGATGTTCTAAAATGCAAAAGGTGAGAATATGCAGAAAGGAAAGACTATTTTCTTAGAAAACAGTACTTTCATCTCTCAGAAATTTGTCATTGTAACAGTTGGCATAGATGGCATAGAATGTGGGCACAGTAGGCCCATTTGAGTTAGTAAACAAATTAGCAAATAAATATTTATTACTAGAGAAACAGGTGCCTGGGAAGAATGTGGGTAACTGTTCTGTCCTTTGTGTTTCCTTAGGTTTTTGTTTTCCACGGGGGGGGGGGGGTAGTCAGCACAGGTTCAAAGGAACAGTAAACACTGGGATATATGATGAGAAAGCAGTTCCGGAATCAAATAACTTTGGGACATACTGGATTTATCTGTCTCCTCTTTGGAGTCCAGGTATACATTAGCACACAAAAGGGTTTTTCCAAGTTCAGAAACAAAGGAACCTCTTTACTTTGGGTAAACCTGATGTGTGATATTTGGCCTTAGAACCTTCTTTTGTACAAGACCTGTTCACCACCCACACTTTAGGAAATACAGCTCTTGGTGGTTCATTGTCCACATATTTGTCTGAGAGAGAGATCATGTCTTTTGTTGAGGTTGTACTGGGAATTGATCCCGGGGCCTTATGTACCCTAGGCAAGTGCTCTACCACTGAACTATACCCCTAGCCCATGTCTTATTTATTTTGTATGTTAATGCTATGTGCTGCTGGCATACAATGGGCATTCAGTAAAGACTTATGCATGAAGAAGGAAAATGATTTTGCCTGGCATGGTGGCACACCCGGGTAATCCTAGTGACTCRGGAGGCTGAGGCAGGAGAATTGCAAATTGAGACCAGCCTCAGCAATGTAGCAAGRTCCTAAGCAACTTAGGGAGATCCTATCTTTAAAAAGGGTGGTGGGGGTGCTGGGGATGTAGCCCAGTGGTTAAACACCACTGGGTTCAACCCTCAGTACCAAAAAAGAAAAGAAAAAAAAGGAAGTGGCTTGTATGAGATTGGTTGAGATGACCCCAATGCTGATAGAGAAAGCTGGGGCATYATGAAGGTAAAAATGAGTGGGGTTGGAGTGAGAGAGAGAAGARTGACACAGAGGGCAGGCTTGGAATTCAAAAGGCCTCTTTTTAAACCAATGGAAAATCAGATCTTCAGAGCCCTTGGGTCCATCTTCTTCCGTGATTACARCATTCCTTTTAAACCACCTGCATCTTCAAGCTCTCTTAAAATGCACCCAACTATGGCTGCACCTTAGTATTGCTTAGTATTGCTTATCAAACTGTTAGAGGAAAAAAAAGTTATTTTTAAGTCTTCAATTTTTGGAAATGTGACATGATTTACAAAGACTATCTGAAGCCCATACATCGTTGCATTTGGAGACTCCAAATAATGCCATGTTCTCCCAATTTACAACTCAGTGTCTTCTGGCACATGTGATGTGCCAGGTAGTGTCATCAGGGACTKCAAAAATACAGAACCCCAAAGGTGCTCACAGATGAAACTGCAGAGAAATATGGGAGATGTGGATAATAAGCATCAAATATTTTAGAAGAGTCTGTCTCTTGTCCTCAGATGCCCAAGGGGAAAATGCTATTCTAAAGTCTATTTCAGAGAGCTTTGGAAAGGTGCCTTCAATTGGCCACCTTATGATTTGCTCAAGTGATCAAAGGAAATTGCAAAGAGACAGAAGTTAGCAGTGTTCTCAGCATTGGCATTGTACAAACTGTGAACAAAACATTATTAGCTTCTCCCAAGACCGACAGCAATATGCTTGAGAACTATTCATTTTGACTACAGTTTCTTGTAAAGTAACATTTACCACTCTTAAAGTTCTTATTGGAGAGTAAGTGGGGAAAAAAAATGCCACAAATTTGCATTGAAACTCTACTTTTGCAGCGAGAAGCTGGAGGGTCTGGGGGTTGAAGTGTTTAGCATACCTTGGGTGGTGGGCTGGCAGTCTCCATAACTAGAGCTCAGCAATTACTTAGTTTTACAATTATTCCCTTTATGAAGGGTTCCATTTTTCTTTCAAGCAGAGGTGGAATGGGTTTAAAGGAAACTTTTAGGTTCATACTATGACACCAATATTTTTCTTCGATGATTATCGCGCACGTACAATGGCCTCAATTACTAAAAAACATATTTGTTGCTAAAACCATATGCTGACTTTTGTTGCTGTCAAGGAGTTTTGCGTTCAGAAGAGTAAGGGGGGACCTCCCTTCCCACATGTTTTTGCATCCACTCTATTATGGAAACAAAGGGCTCTTACCTCATAGCCTATTGATATATCAAGYAATAAATGTGACAGTTACCGGTTCTATTTGCCTTATCCAGTCTTCCTGCAGAACTGAAATGTAACATGTTTCTTACTAGTAACAGATGCTTGAGCCCTTCCTTTGAAATTCCTCTGGAGAAGCTGCCCTGTTGATTCTATTAGGAGGGAAGTAGCTTTATGCAGATGTCTGCTTGTAGGGATGCATTGTTGTAATTGCTGTTCTTCGACCCCTCGCTGAGTACCATGCTTTTCTCTTGTAGGTGATGTGCCTTCAGGACTTTTTTGGTGACGATGACATTTTTATTGCATGTGGACCGGAGAAGTTCCGTTACCAGGATGATTTCTTGCTAGATGAAAGTGGTAAGGAAAAAAAAAAAAAGTTCAAAACCAGGGGAAATTTGAGGCAGCTTTCCAAAATGAGCTGTACCAGGCCAAGATTATGTCAACTCCAAAGCTACCAAATCAGTTTCAGATCCCCAACCAGCATGTCTTTCCTATATCTTGAATTTCTTTGATTTTTTTTAAATATAGAAAACAGATGAAATGATAATTGGAAAGGCTAGTCATTTAGAAGAATAAATTATTAAGGGCTAATTTATAACCATTTAATATCTAGGTTGATGTTTTATAGAAAACCACTCTCGGATTTCTACATTTTTAATTGTATATTTTTTTTCTCAAAATTTATAGTGGAGGGATTTGTGATCATAAAATTATTGAGTATGTTTCTAAGCTCAGCTTTCATGTGGCCTCCTTGAATTCCTAACTGAGAAAATGGTTTGGTATCCCCTTTCCTGTAAAACTTTGGAATTTGTGTGTCATTAGCATCTGTGTGAGGTATTGAGAAAAGAGGAAAGAAGCTTCCTTCCAATAATACACTAAATGCCACCCTCTCTAACTGATAAAGAAGGGACAACTGATAAAAAGGGGAAATGAATATGAAAGGTTGTGACTTTGAGAATTTTTTTTTGGTATTATGCATCATTTCTTAAATGAATATTTTTTACAGAAAAGATTATTTTAATTAAGAGACCCATCCTTGCTAATATTTAATTAGGGAAATTTTGCATTTATTGACAATTCAAATTCTGTCTAGCTGGAAGTACTTTTTGAAATGATAATGAATTTTTTTTTTTTGCTCCATTATCCTGAAAGAACAAATTATTGAGCTTTTGACAAAGTGGATGGGCAATACTTGACTGATAAGATCCGTGAAGTAATGTAGTGGTCTCACTCAAACACTGCAGACGCATGTTCACATGTAGTGTCTACATTATATGTATGCACAGTCATTGGCCACATAACAACATTTTGGGCAATGACGAATCACATATACATATATAAGGGTTATTCCATAAGATTATATCACTTAGTGATACCATAGTCATTCCAGTTTAAGCACATTCTATGATGTTCATACAACTAGATCAGCTAATGATGCTGTTCTCCAAACATGTTCACATCATTAAGCAACACAGCGTTGTATATGTATTATTAGTTGTATGCATTTAAACATTTTACAATTGTTTCCTATATAAAAATGATTTAAGCTGTGTTGGGAGGGATACGATAATTGCTCCATTATTATTAAAATTACAAGTGCCCAATGAAAGTGTGTGTGTGTGTGTGTGTGTGTGTGTGTGTGTGTGTGTGTTCATTTGAAGAGATTTGTTTTGGTTCAAGGATCTTAACTGAAGAGTAGTTTGACATCTCTTGTCCTCTAAAATAAATGCATTCCATCTTTCTAACTGATAGGTGTGCCCTTTGAGACAGAGATGTATGTAAAAACATCACAGGTAAGGTGTCCTCATGGGGGTCTCCCTGTGCCTACGTCTACTTAAGGAGAAGGCAGCTTTGTCATTGTGTAGAACAAGTGAATATTTCCAGTCAGGCAGAAGAGCTGACAGCACAGTTTTGAGAAAAATAAACGGCTTTGACTTTCAATTTAAAGAAAATAGCTGCTTCTGATAGAATGGTCTGAGACCAGATGCGTCCTGAAATGAAAATCCATTTGTTGCTTTAATATAGAAAACAGACTGTTGAATGCAAACTGGAAGAAAGCTTAGTTTCCAATCAGCAGAGTTGGCTATGGGTTCCCAGGCTCTCTGGTCATTATTCAGCCCTMCAGGTAGACCTAGGGCCACACTGGGGGCACCCACACAGCTAGCTAAGCTTCCCCAGTTGACATTGTGCTTTCAACTCAGGAGGTGCAGCCTCCTCCTCCTGTTCACTGGCAGTGATGGGCAGGGAGACTTTCTGAGAAGTACAATAGCACATTGTCAGAAAATCCCTTGCAAATTTCCCTTAGAATGCTTTCTCCTTAAGAAAAGACATGTACACGTGAGCACACGTACACATGTACTTTTATACACGTGCATGTGTGTGTGCACGTGTGTGGGAACACACACACACACACACACACACACACACATACCCCTCATCCTTCTTTTGTGGCTTGACTCCCTGAAAGGAAGGCTACTGCACCCCATTTTTGTGAGCACTCCGAATCCTTTCCCCTGATGAAGGTGCCCTAAACATTTCTTGGTGTGAAATCCATTCCTGAGTCACGTGTCCTCCCTCATTCTAAAAGAAGCACGTGGATATGGTGGTGGTGGTGGTGGGGGGGGTTTGGAGAGTCGGATAGGAAAAGAATCTAAATCGAGCTTTTACTTCCTTGGGTGAACTTACCCTGAAACTAAATTCACACGTTGACAACTGCAATTTTCCTGTTGCTTGTACAGCATGTTCTGGTGCTAATGTATTAAAATTCGAATCTTTTTTTTTTTTTTAAGTGCTCCGAGCATGATTTAGCTCAGCTTATCTGTACTTGCTAAATGGTATTTGCAAATTGATGCTTCATTTGGCCTGTTCCACAGCCTCTTCCTCAAAGGCGTGTCAGCGGGGGGCACAGACATCTTCAGAATTATGACTCTCAGCCCTGAGCAGGGCTGCGCTTGATTTAATGGCGCCAAGAAGTGGCCTTTTGCTGAGAAGCAGCACTTTTATTTTATCTTTCAAAATTAACCCAGCTCCCAGTGAGTTTGGGATTAGCAATAATACATCCCCCTAATTATTGCTGGGAAAGCTCCTAGGGATGTAGCTTAAGGTCTTTCCAGTAAAGGGTTTTGCCATTATAGACTCATAATTCACGGGGTCACCAGGGAGCCAGATCGATATTAGAAACTGTGAGGGATCCTCTTTCCTCCCCAAAGTTTYCACATGCGGAATAAAACCCCTTCCTTGTTCTAGTTCAGAATGTAACCATTTTAGSGACATCGTCATCAATCAGTGGAGTCTTAGCACCTTCGAAATGGTGGATAGAACACTATATATAGAGACAGACAGAGAGGCCGACAGATCCTTCCTAGGCTTGGCCTGCTGTCTCATTTAGAATGATGAAACATTCTCAGGGAAAATGCCAAATTGGAGACAGGAAGCTCAACATAGTGCTGCTTAGATGTTGATGACAAACTGATGAGTTTATGATTTGTTGCCATTCAAAAGTGACAGGATTGTCTTGAGAAATGTCCACCTGGCATTCACTCCTTGGTGATGAGCCTGACACTGTCTGTCACAGTTTGTCCACCTCCTTGACCTCAAAGCCAATGTCCCCACACTTACTTTGCCAGTTTCTTCACCCATTCACCTCACTGCCATGGGTGGCTCACCCCTGCTGATCCCCCCCCCACCACCCACTATCGATAGCCTTAAGTATCTCTCAATCTCTCTTTACTTTTCTAAGATCTTGATTGCTTTATCGATCAGTTTCCAAGTGTTCTGGATTCTGATGTCAATAGGCATTATTTTAAGCTCTCATATTGTTGATTGCATTAGTTGTTGCATTAGTGTCCTAGGGTTGCCATAACAAAGTATCATAAACTGGGTGGCTTAAAATAAGAGGAATTGGTTGAAATGAGAATCTTGAATGCCACCACCACACACATACACACAAAAAAAGATAAATTTTTGGAGTGAAGAATATGCTAATTACCCTGATTTGGTCATTATGCTGTGTATACATATACTGAAACCTCACACTGTACCCCATAAACACATAAAATTATTATGAGTTAATTATAAATAAAAATTTTGAAATATAAAAAAGAGACCACCCTAAAAACCTTTTGTTTCACAATTCTGAAGACCAAAATCCAAAATTAAGGCATGGGCAGTGGTGTGCTCCATCTGATGTCTCTAAGGCAGAATCCTTCCTGGCCTCTGCTTGTCTGGAATTTTCGAGGAGTCCTTGGCSTTCCTTGACTTGTGGCGGAATTTCTGCCTCTCTTCCTATGTGGCCTTCTTCCCTGTGGGTCGGTATGTGTGTCCAAATTTCCTTCTTCTTAGAAGGGCCCAAGTTATTAGATTTGGGCTACCATATAAACTAGAGAATGTCTGCCAAGACCCTGTTTCCAGATGATTTCTCATTCACGGGTCCTGTGAGCTGGGCCTAGAACATATCTTTCTAGAGTAAGATATGGTAGCTTACTATGGTAGCTGTGGTCATTTTAGTTGATCTTGGATTACAAGTAAACTGATTTTTGTTTTCTGTTTTGATCTGTCTTTGGGCTCTACAGTGGTAGCATTGTATTTATTGGTAGAATACATGGACAACAGAGCTGTGGCCAGGCTACGTTTCACCTCATCTGAACTTTCACAGTTAGGGCTCCTCATCTGGTGGATCAGACAATTTGAGAATTTCAGTAATGCAGTTGACAGTCCCTCTCTTGAAATCCCTTTGACTAAGATGAAAATGTATGGGCTGAATGGTATAGAAAGATTTGTTTCGAATTGCTTGAACTACCCTGTCCAAAAGGTACTGATTTATGGATTGATGTTCGATGTTCTGGTGGAGATCTCTGTTTAAATTAATCCTTAAGATTCCTGTAGGTAGAGACTTTATTTGTTCCCTGGGAGCCACACCACAGGGTTTTGCATGATGGAAGCCCTCTGGGAGGGGTGCTAATGTGGCTGAAGACAGAGTGAGTTTCTACAGGGATTCTAACAAGACAAATTGCATCCAAGAAGATCACATCAAATTGGTATAAACAAAATGTGGTGTTCTAGGGTTAAAAGAGAAAGGAAGAAAAAGAGAAGTGAACTCTACAATCTGATCATTCTATTTGGTTAGGAACAACTTAGTTTTCACTGAAAGACATGTGGAAATTGCTTTCAGTTGACTGCAGGGTTAGTGTGAGGCGTAATTTGGCTCATTTGCTGTGTGTATTGTACATATATCATGTATATGTTATAAAATGTTTCAGCCTCTCTGATTGAAGTTGGTGAATGTGGAATGAACCAACAAATTAAAACTAAAACTGGGGGCTGGGGCTTAGCTCAGTGGCAGAGTACTTGCTTCGCAC